AATAAAACAAATCTGAACTGTTCACACAACTAGATAATCAAGACTTACACTGCAGGAATAATTAAGACAGTTTATTATTGAGGTAAGGAGAGTCACATTGACTAGTAGAACAGAGAACAGAACAGAAAAATCAGAAGCAGACCTACACATCTGCAGTTGCCTCATCCACAACAAAAAGGCAACTGTAAGCTAGTGGGGGATATTACAGTACTTTCAATAAATGGCCTGGGCCTATTGGCTATTTATGGAGGAAAACAAAACAGAAACCTTGAATCTTACCTCACACCATACACAAAAAATAATTTGAGATAGAGCATATCCCTAAATGTTAAAGGTAAAATAATATGACTTCTAGAATAGAATACTATGTATATCTTTATGAACTTAATATAACACAAAAACACTACACATAAAAGTTAATTGCACAACCACCAGCATTCCTTCCTGATAAGAGACCAGGGACCATGGAGTGTGTCTGGCCAATCTACTGAGGATGTGCATTGAGGGTTTTCAAGTCCTCTGCTTCACCTTTTGACATCAGAGGGCTGAAAACTCCACCCTCGGATCACACTAACACTGCCATTTTTTGGACACGAGACACGTGGATAGACATGAAGTTCAATTATGCATATGCATATTTCTTCTTTCATAAATATTCATGACTCCTATAGCTTATTGAATATGTCTATTTGACCACCCCTTTCAGCATCAATCCCAGTCTTCTTCTTCAGACCCTCCAAGTACCTGTTTTTAGCTTCTGGTCAGAGGCTATTTCCCAGCCTGTCAGTATGACCACCTTGCAGACTATAACACTTTATAAGAAATAAAGCTCTCTTTTCCAGATTTATGAACCTTGTCATTCTCCACTTGACAAGAGAAAATGCAAGTCAAAACCACAGGACACTATTGCTACACTCCGAAGAGAATAGATAAAATTAGAAAGATGAACAGCATTATGTACTGGTAGAAATACCAAACAACTCATACAACCACTTTGAACAGTGTTTGGGAGATCAAACTCAAGGCAGTGTTTAACAAACCGTAATCCAAACACTTATTGAAGACAGTAGGGGAATCATGGCCATAGCTATAGGGACCACTGCAACAGGGTCTTGCCAGTGGGGGAGAAAGTAGATGAATTCCAACTCCAATAAGTATAAGTGGAGTTTATAACCAAGGAGCAGGGTGGGTCAGTGGATGGAAAATGATAAAGAGGAAACATCAAGGATAAGGGATGTCTGGCTAGGATTTGATAGGATTATTGATGGAGGTGGGACAAGGTGATCAGATATTAAGGGTGGTCAGTTACCAAGGGTGGACCTTTTCCCTAAACTTACTTAGCAGGATTTTTGCTCATATTGGATTCTGCAAGGACAGAGAGGAAATCCCAATGTTAAACCAAGTTGGAAAGGACTCAGGATCCTGACTAAAGCTTTGGCCACATGAGTCTTTGTCACCAGATACATATATACCCTGCCACCCAGCGAGGCTACTCTTGGAATATTCAGAGCTGAAATCAATGCTCACATCTTCAGCAGTTTCATTCATAATAGCCCCAAGCGGGAAATAATCCAAATGTTCCTCAACAGCAGATGGTAAGTAAACTGTGGCATATTTTTGCAAAGGAGAAAGAACATATTACTGCTACATGCAAAAACATGGCTGAATTTTGTATAGAAAATGTTATGTTACAGTAGCCAGACACAAGAGTCCATACTGTATATTCCTGTTTATATAAAGTTCAAAAACAGGAAATATTAACCTATGTAGCAACAGAATAGAGCCAAAGATTATGTTTTGGGGGGATTTGATTGGGAAGAAATATAAAAGAAACTTCTAAGTTGCTAGAAATATTGTCTTTGGTAAAAGGTTCTTTTCTCAGGGTGCTAATTTCCTGCACCTCTGGTTTGTGCTATTTGGTCCACTTGGGCTGCCCCTGACACAGCATGATCCTGGGTGCCATGGTGCAGTGCTTTACCTGACCAAAACCTCAGAGCATCCATTCAGGTCAGGGTTAGGATTAGGGTTAGGGCTAGGGTTAGGGTTAGGATTAGGGTTAGGGTTAAGGTTAGGGTTAGGGAGAGTTGAGCTGCCACTGTAGCCCACACAGTAAAGGTCATGCTGAACCAAGTCTCTTCCTGGGGGAAGCTAAGAAGAAATACTGGTATTAGGAAATGAGTGAAGACAGGCATGGTGGTTCACTATGCCTGTAATTCCAGCACTCTTGGAGCCCAAGGAGAGATAACTACTTGAGCTCAGGAGTTCTAGACCAGAATGGACAACATAGTGAGACTTCGTCTCTACAAAAAATAAAAAAAATTAAAAATTAGCCAAGTGTGGTGGTCCACAGTGTTAGTCACTACTACTCAGAAGGCATCACCTAAGCCCAGTAGGTCGAGGCTACAGTGAGCTATGATTGCATCACTTCACTCTAGCCTGGACAGTGTGAGCCTCAACTCAAAAAAAAAAAAAAAACGAGAGAGAGAGAGAGAAAGAGAGAGTGAAAAGGAAGTAAAAGGGAAGCCACAGCCAGGACCCTTCGTTGAGCAAGCAGCTGAGACCAGCCAGCACAGAAGGCCAAGCAAATCAGGGAAGGTACCTACACTGAGGCTGTCACACAAGATGACCCCAGTCACAGGCAAATACAGCAACTAGAACCTAGCAAGGTTAGGGCAGCTAAATGCCCCCCAGAGATGATGGTGGGATTCTTCAACAGGTAAGCAAACAACACACATCAGTCAAAATGCTGGCTAAAAGTGAGAAAAATAGGGGCTGGAGGGTGGAGACAATTCATACCTGTAATGGCCTTGAGACCAGCCACTGCAATTTTTTTCTTTTTTCTTTTTTTTGAGTTAGAGTCTCACTCTGACACCCAGGCTGGAGTGCAGTGCTATGCTCACAGCCACACCACAGCCTCAATCCTTCTGCCTCAGTCTTCCAAGTAGCTGGAACCACAGGCATATGCCACCACGCCTGGCTACTGTTTTGTTTTGTTTTGTTTTTTGTAGAAACGAGGTCTCACCAATTTGCCTAGGCTGGTCTCAAACCCCTAGGCTCAGGCAATCCTCTTGCCTCTGCTTCCCAAAGTGCTGGGATTACAGGCGTGAGCCACTGCACCTGGCTGGCAATTTATTTCAAGAACTCTCTTGTTTTCCATATTTTAGGAAACTGACTGATCTCCACTTTGAAGGATATTCTGTGAATGATTAGACTTGTGCCTTCTCTTGGGGAAAAAGTGAGACGGCTTGTGCTCACACACACCCAAAGCAAACTCTGCATTATAATATTGGAGCTGGATATGGTGAAAGGAGTGAATCTGAGTAGTTCAAAGGGTGGACTGTATTAGACTCATCTTATTAGTCGTCCTCAGATTTTCTTGGCCCCATCTGTCTACTGGACGCTCAGTCATTTGCTCCACCTCAGTCATTCTCCACTCCTTGCAGGACTGAGAGAATGGTTCCATGGCCTGAGGTCATCCTGGTACCTCTTGGAATCCCTGGTTCCTCACACACCACAAGGCATGGGGTCTTCTGTCTTTCCAAGCAACTGCTGAAGGGACTGAATGACACAGCCAGGAACTCTAGGGATGCTGATCACCTCTAGGAGATGAGAAAGAGCCAGACACTTTCCCTTCCTCCTCCTCCCCAAGGCATAGCTTCTTCACAGGGCCCCTCAGGAGACATCCCCAAGGCAGGTACACCTGCCAGCTGTCCTGCTGGGTCTTTTCATTGTATGGCAGTTGTCTGTTTAAAGACACTTCTCTTTCACTGCTCTCAAGCCTTCCCTGAATTATTTCCCCATTCCCTCATCCTCACTACTCTGGGGTCAAACTCTCAAATAAACCATTAGCTTGCCTCGGGGCTCTGTTTTCTAGGAAACTCAGGCAAAGACACATAGATTTGGGAGTCTGAGATATTCTGAAATCTAAATTTTTAAATTTCATATGTATAAAAAGAGTATCTGTATTTTTATATAAAAGCATATTTTGGATCATCTGGGCAACCACATTATATTGAGCATTTTCACTCCAGTGCTGCACTTTTAATTAAGTTAGCAATAAGTACAAATGTAATTTTAATGAACCAAAGTCAAAGAAAAGGTACAGATACTGGGTGCGGTGGTTCGAGCCTGTAATCTCAGCACTTTGGGAGGCAGAGGCAAGAGGATTGCCTGAGCTCAGGGGTTCAAGACCAGCATGAGAAACATGATGAGACCTCATCTCTACAATATATTTGAAAAAAAAAAATTTAACCAGATGGCACATGCCTGTAGTTCCAGCTACTTGGAAGGCTAAGGCAGAAGGATCATCTGAACCCAGTAGGTTGAGGCTGTGGTGGCTGTGAGTATGCCCTGCACTCCAGCCTGGGCAACAGGGTGGGACTCCAACTCAAAAAAAAAAAAAAAAAAAAAAAAAAGAAGAAGAAGAAGAAATAGAAAAGAAAAGATCCAGACAAGATGAAATGGATGCTCATCGCCATCTGAAGAGCAAATGAAATTAGGGATGAGGAGATATTTCAAGTAATTTGAATACAAGAAAGTGGTGGGCCAATTTGAATTTTCACCTGAGGTTGGGCAAATTTTAAAGAATCTCTGCAGAGGGGCACATAAAAACACAAAGCATGCCTGGTCCTAAACCAGGGGAAGTGAGAACCAATCGTGGGCCCAAACTTCACCTGCACATAGATTACTTACATGCCTAATCCTGACTTGTACCTCACATATCTATAATAAAATAAAGTTATAACAATACAAAAAGGATCTTTGCAGTAGCTGACTGTCCATAATCCATGCTCGAGGTGACATTTGCTTCCAGCAAGATAATTTAATGTTGTTGATTTGAATTTTATTGACTGGCAGGAGCTGTAGAACAGAGAAAGAAGTCTGATGAGGAAACTTGAGGGAGTTTGCTTTGCAGAGTGAGAAGTAAATGTTATCTTTCTGTTATAAGCTATTCCTTGATATCCATATTTCTTGCTCATGCTTTTAGTGCAAGTGAATTCTCTAAGGAGCACACAAAGAGGTGCTGAGGTTATGTCAAAGTTGATGAGAATAAAAATAAAGACCACCACGAGGGATAACGAGATGCTTATTGAATATGCAAAATAGCCAGGACTCTGCTTGGCAGAAGGGAGTTTGGAGGGGTGGCATTGGGTGGGTCAGTGTCCCTGGATAGGCAAATATTTGTAAGAAGTAAACAAATCTTTCAATGACCAAGCTGCTTGTCACCTGTGAGTCCTTCCACGAACCGGATGTGGGCTCCCCCACCCTAACGCCAGCATCTGGCACAGCTGAGGGCAAGCCCAACACTCCTTTCTGATTGAAACATTTAAAAGTACACAATTTGAGACTAAGTTATAGTGATCATTCTTATATTGAAGACAAAAGCAATAGTAAAATAATTTTAGGTCCAGGGGTTGAGGACCTGTGATAAACCACCTCTGATAAGTTGGAAACATATGTGTCAACATTTTCATATATATAGTGATAAAGAAAGACACCTCCGTAGCCAATATTTTCCAAAGAGAGAACTCGAAGGAAAATGTACAGCAATGGAGACATTTAAACGTCCTGTCTTCATCCTGATTCTTCACCTTCTAGAAGGGGCCCTTGGCAATTCACTTATTCAGCTGAACAATAATGGCTATGAAGGCATTGTCATTGCAATTGATCCCAATGTGCCAGAAGATGAAACACTCATTCAACAGATAAAGGTAAGTTCAAAATGGTAACTACCCATGCTTTAAAAAATAATAATCATAATGTGATAGAGATAACATGAGTTCTCTTGTTCCAGCTACATGACACTAGCAAGTTATTTTTATGTCCGAATCTCAGTTTCTTCATCTGTAAAAAAGGAAGTAATGCCACTTAACCACTAGGACTCTTGTGAGACATGATAAAATACATGCAATGCACATAACTCGGTTTGATATGTTGTTAGTGTTTAATAAATGATGTCTATATTTGCTGCTGTGGATTATTTCAGAGTCAGTTACATTTTGCACCTATTGTGAGATGCACAGGCGTCATTCTTTTGCCTGATTTCACCATTGACACATATCAGACTCTTCTGTTATTCTCCTAATTGGAACTTTATCTCTAGATGGAAAGTTAATAGTCCATGGGTCTAGAGGGTTCTCCCCAGAGAGTCCTTGCTCTGAAAAGAGGCAAACACAGAAAGGTGGAGTGAATTATCCCTGCCTGCCAGGAGTTTGTGGCTAGAAAATTGCAGCAGTAGAAGATGGGGAAGAGAGGATAGGGCACCACTCTTCACAAAGCTAACATATTTAACCCAAAGACTACTAGACTGTCTTTGATAAAAGAGAAATTCAGATCTTTTAAAATCTCTCAATATTAGAAGCCTTGCATGTCGGTGACCAACACTGACCAAGGGTGGGTTAGGACCCGCACCGGAGAATCAGGAGACGGCGAGAAGAGACCACTCGAAGGCAGCTCTTCTGGGAACAGTCTGATCAGGACTGAAGCCCATTTTAT